ATCTAAGCTAAGTTTGAATGCCTATGGGTTTTTTGTTTTGTTTTTTTTAAAGTTTTCACATCTTTATTATTCATATGTAGGTTACTTTTTTAATATTTAGCAAAGTTAAAAGGACACTGCTAAGTAATATTTTATTCTTTTAAAAATTTTTGTGTTAGGTTTGTATATTCTTCCTAAGTGCTAGAAAATAATTATTTCCCTTTCATATTTTATATGATTTTTATTATTATATTGGACTTATATGTTTTCCCTAAATCCTGCATTGTTATCTTAGGCAAATCTCCCATGGAAGGCCATAGGAATAAAGGATCAGGCCAGTAACACTTTGTTTTGGGCATAAACCAACTAAATGTTTGGCCTCTGTAAATAGGGGTTATTAGTTTTTTATCTCAGAACAGAAACAATGGTGGTACCCTGGTAGCAACTCAATAGTTGTGGGTTGTCTTCCAAATTGGGGTTAAAATGGTGTGTAGAAAGGCTTTCAGTATGAAATTTCAGATTGATCTATAATTTATATAAAAATATGAAATGTTAAGATAAAGCCACCCAACAGTACATACCCTTTTCTCCCTCACCCTCAGGCCTCACTGTTACAATAGCTATCATGTACAGCAGAACACATAACTTAGAGAATTTTTTCACTTGACCAGAGCTAACCTTAATCCTTCCCCCGTGGGTTGCCTGTCTTCCAGCACTTCCTGGGTCAAACTATCCTCTTTCAACATGCCACATTATTTCACCAAAAATTCACAACTAATTATATTAGGAGAGGGTAGTTTGATAAAGGGATGTAAAGAGGGGAAGGCTGGGGGAGGCAGAGTTAATGTTGCAGTATGATGTCTGTGGTGTATGGTAGTTATTGTAATGGGACAGTGTCGGCCTGTGGGTAGCTTAACTTTTCCTTTTTCTTTTTTTGTGTGAATTTGAATCAAATGTTTGTGTGGGTGTGTGTGCATGTATAGTAATAGAGGCAACGGGGCGATGGGTCATTTGTGGTGCCACCTTCAGTTATACCTCTTGGCTTGAAAAGATGCCACACGTACGAGCGGGGGGGGGCAAACCTAGCAATGTCATAATTTATTATAGATTATTATATAATAGGATTATGAAAAAATATCAGTAGCAGAGTTGTGGATTTTAAAATAGATACTCTGGAGGAAGGTAGTTTTATGGCTAAAGCACAGGACTGGGAGTCTATAAATCAAGGTTCTGTTTCTGGCTCTGCCACCAACTTTCTATGTGTCCTAGGGTCTAATTCTGTGAAATCCTGAGTGCTTCTTTTTAAAAGATTGAGTGCCCTCAATTCAAATTAATGTCAGAATTGCACAGAACTTTGCAGTATTGGCCTCTAAATTTGACTTCAGTTTTCTAATCTGTATAATGGGATAATATATACTGATTTCACAAGAGGGTAGTGAGGCTAAATTTTAATAAATGCTTGTAAAGTGTTTAGCGATTCTTGGATGCTCTAGAAGTTCAAAATATTATCTATTATATTTCAAATCCAGAGGATATTTCTCACTAAATTTTACTGTCTTTAAGGTGAGCCAGAAAATAGTCTCAAATTAATAGAAATTGTTTTTTAAAGGGTTGTACTGCAGTACAATAACAAATAGTTGCTTCGGCTCCTCAGTGAAACTGTAGACTGAGGTTTCACATTAATATCAACTAATTATTCAATAGAACGTAATATAATTCCATCAGATAAACAGGTTCTAATATTCTGTCAGGTACACAGAGATATGATTATCTTACAAGACTCAAAATTGCGATACTATTTCAAATTAATAATTTACAACTGTAAACAATCAGCACCTATTTGACATTAAATCTTCATTGATGGGAAACCGATTTTCCATCTTGTCTCGATTAAAAAAGGCTCTATGTGGATATATTTCTTCTAAAACATCTCACTAGACTTGCCATCACTGTCTTTCTATGAAAATGTACTTTTGTTTCTGCAGAAACATTATATTAATATGGAATAACATGCTGGAAATTTGAAAGTGGTTATTTTACAAAAATTATATTCTTTAATATAAACTAATATAATTTGACTTAATTCTTTCCTCTAAAATAAAACACACTGAGGTAAATTTTGGTGGTTGTAGCTGGAGCTGTTGTTCAGCTTTTGTTTATTGCTAATGTAAGTTGTCCACTTCAAGACTGATTCATGCAATGTGCTCAATATCCCTCAGCAGTTTTAAATCCCACTGAATTCAATGGGAGTTGAGAACACTCTACACGTCACAAGGAGTGGGTTTTTAATTACCCATGATCCAGTTTGAATATTTAACTTTTAATGTTAATTAACAACAGTCCTAAGTAGAAAACACATCCTTAAAGGTAAACGAATAAAAAACCTCCTGAGTTTTAGTCTCACTGTGTCTGTCTATTGTATCCACATGTTGTGTCTTCTCTTTATATTTTAAGCTCTTTGAGGCAGTGAATGTCTCTGTTACATGTTTGTACAGTGAGTAGCACAATGGGGCCCTGGTGTCTACCCACTACTGCAATACAAATAATTAATAATAATAATAATAACAACAGATTATTGAAAGAATTTCAAACAACCTGATAAGCAACATTGTTGTTTTATTCTAAACTGTAATAAATAACAATCCTATTCAATGCTAGAGGCTGGGGACTTAAAACAGTACAGCAACAAGTTGCTAAGCATCCTTTGAGTTTGTAGTAATTAACATCAGATCCCAAAGATATATTAAAACTTGAATGCTATCTAAGTGTATATTCTAGTAGACCAAACCTCTAAAGGGCTTTCCTATTTTGTGCATACCACCTGCACCACTTAGGTAGATGGTTGTTAACTCCCCCCCTGAATTAAATGAGTTATATTTCCATGTACAAAAGGGGACCCTTTAAAAAAAAAATTGGTCTCTTATGTGTCTGTGGCAATACAATTCTGTCAGACTGGTAGGAGGTCTTTTTGCTGTTATACCTTCCTGAATTCTGCCCATGCTACTCATAGAATTCAGTTCTTTATATTACTGTATAAGATTTATAAGTTAACTGTATGGGTCTTGGTTTAGTACTCCGCTTGTCTAAAGCAATCTTTTTTGGAAAATCAAATAAATATAAACAATCTGAAATCTCCAGTTCTTTGCCAGGAATTTATCTCAAGTAGTAAAAATAAAGTTTACATGTCAAAATCTGATCTTAATTTAACTGGTGTAAATCCCCAAAGCTTCATGGAAGGAAAGTAATACAATTTGAGATGGAAATTGAATGGAATTTGTATATATTGTACATTTTTGTAGAGGATTTGTAACACTACTTTTTTTACTGATCAATTAAAGCATTGAAAGAACTTTAAGCATTCATTGGGCTTATGCTGTTGACAAATCATAATGTTTAGAACAGCAAGAAAAATTTCTTAGACTTTATAAAACAAATTAAGTTTCTGGAGTAAATGTGTAATTTCCACTGAAGTCAAAGAGAATATGTAGAGGGCAGTAGCATTTATATTATTGATGGATTGATATTGCCAATGGTATCTTAAACCATAGTAACCTGTGCCAAAGGTTTGCACTCCCTAAGTGCTATAGTATTGGAATTAGCAGGGCAAGAACCACCATTAGAAATGTCATTAGGTCTGGAGTCTCTAGGAACGATAGCAGTGACTACAACAGCATTCACAAGTTATTAGTCTTCTCTTTATTAAAAACCTTACTACATAGATATTCAATGCCAGAGTTATAGATACATAAACAAGGTGGAGCAACACCATAATATGTCCAGCATCAGTGTTTTCATATTCACATCCACAAGGGTACCATAAAGATGAGTGACTCTCTCAATAGGTGGTCATCTGTGGAGGGTTTCCTGATGTATTCTTCCTCCCTATTCATGCTGGGGAACCCCTTTTATGCTGTGTTACACTCATGCCTGTAACCTGTATGCATATGCATGATGGTCCCAACCCCTTTTCCCTTATTGGGACTTCTGCACCCCATAAAATTTGGGGTGACCCACTTTTCGTACGCTATCCTTAGTTCCTCTTATTTTCATTAGCATTTTACATCATCAAGTCGCCATGGTAATCTGTGGTTATTGCAGAATTTTACAATCAAACATCTTGCGGTATTGACAGGTGCATTGTGGCATATTTTCCCAAACATCACCTATTAGCACATGTTTTACACTAATCTTGTACGTCTACTGGTACAGGGTGACTCCTGGGTCACCTCCTCATGTCAATCCTTCTTAAGGCCTAATGAGGCTAAGCTAAAATCTTACAGTCTCAGTCTGCAGGTCTTGTATTACAACCTTACTTTACTTATATACCTAATATACATTCATCACTCATAAATACTTAGGCAACCTTATACCCCTACAATAGTGTCCTACTTATACCTACAACTTAAATCTATTCACCACATATTAATTACATATGAATTAACCACAACAGATAGCACAATTAAATTATTTTTATAAGGTGATTAGCTATTGGGCTAAATTTAGCTCAGTGTATGCTGATGGCTGAAATGTGGATGTAGGCAGAATAGAATACGGCGTATTCATTTTCAAGTGGTTTGTAAAGAAAATTAGTTAAATATGAGTGATGTGGCTTTAACATCCACTGGCATTATAGATGGATATTTTCCAGACTTCTTCTGTAGCTGTAAATATATAACTGACTGTAAGTCTCCTAGAAAATATAAACAAATGCTATCAGTTTAGATGTGAAAGTTTATTTCTTGATGGCTGCAGTTGGAATAAGCACACTCTCCCTAATATTTTTAATATGTTCTGCTCAGCTAATAAAGTTTAAATTTGGAGTTGGATACATCCATATCAAGTTATCTGCACTATTAGTTAAATGTTGGTTGGTTGGTTTAACCACATTAAATAGTCGTCATTTTTTAGTTTTGTCAGCTTAGCTGCTGCCAACAAAGATTTGTCAAAAGTTGGCAGGGTTTTCTTCTGTCTGTGTTTAAAATTCTTGTTTTTACAGTTGCGGCTGTGTTTTTGTTTTAAAGGTTGTAAGGCACTTACCCAAGCACCCTGCAGGCAGCCACCTCTCCATGAGTCCAGGATGTCAAGATAATTCACTGCTAAAAAGGGATGAACAAAACCATGAACTTCATACTTCTCCTCTGAATAGGAATTTCTCAGGATATAACCAAAAGGTAGACATGAATGGCTGACATTTCTTAAAAATTTAAGTTCTAAAAATGTGTGCTCTCATTTATTAGACAAGTATGGTGATGATTTTTCTGAAATAATCTCTTTGGCATACTGTCTAGACACAGAGCAGTTTAATTAAAAAAAAAAGTCCAGTATGAGTGTTTTAAATAGTTTACTTTCACATCAAGTCATCAGATATGGAGGTCATTAATCTATTCATCCCTGTGGTGAAGAATCACACACTATTATCAATAAAGCAAAACTCGGACTTAAAATTTATATTTTTTAGAAGTAATTTCTTCAGTGCCTGGTCTCAGATTTGCCCTTCCAATTCACAGAAACCTGTTTTTTGGGTGGCGAGGCTGAAATCCTCCTTGGCCTGAGCATATGACTGGAAGAACTGCAGTTTTTCTCCAGCTGACTATTTTAAAAAGGGTTCTTTCCCATTGCCAGAATGAGAAGGCTTAGTGAGAGGAGAGGAGGCAGGAGGGATTCTGCCTTCCCTAAGGACTTAGCCCAAACCTGGAGACTCACAAAAGGAAGTGAGAGGTTCAGCAATGGTTTCAGGGCCTAGGGTGACCACCCACAAGAGAGACTTAGCAAGTCTATATTAATGATCATCTGATCTGACTCCCTGTATAACACAGGCAACAGAACATCACCTAGTAATTTCCTTATCAAGCCCATAGCTGCTATAGAGTATTTTTTAGAAAGATGCCTAGTCTCAATTTAAAGACTTACTGTGATGGAGAATCCCCATAGGATTACCATATTTCAAGTTCTCAAATAGAAGACACTGCCAGGGGAAATGGGAGGTAGAGGGAGAGGAAGGGTAGAGTTTCTATGGCAATACCATACCATGCCACCATTATTTCTGTGCTACTGCTGGCAGCGGTGCTGCCTTCAGAGCTGGGTGGCTGGAGCCAACTCTGAAGGCAGTGCTGCCACCAGCAAAGAGGACCAAAAAAGAGGTCATGTCCAGGAAAACCTGAACGTATGGTAACCCTAATCCTCCATATCCCTAGGTAAGTGATGATAATGGTTAGTTACTCTCACTGTTAAGAATTTGTGCCTTATTTGTAGTCTGAATTTGTCTAGCTTCAGCTCTCAAATCTTATTCTGCCTTTATCTGCTAAATTAGAGAGTCCTACTATCAGATATTTCTTCCCCATGTAGGTACATACAGACTATGATCAAGTCACCTCCTAATGTTTTCTTACTTAAGCAGTTCAAGCTATTTAGTTTATCTATCTCACCTAGAAATATTTTCCAGACCACAGATCATTCTTGTAGCACTTTTCTGAACCCTTTTCAGTTTTTCAACATCCTTTTTGCAGTATGTACACCAGAACTGGACACAGTAGTCAAGTAATGATCATGCTAAGGCCATAGATAGAGGTAATACAACATCCCTGTTCCTGCTTGATATTCACCTGCTTATACATTCAAGGATTACATTAGCCCTATTAGCTACTGGGAACTCATGATCAAGTAGGTTTCCTTCCATGACCTTTAAGTCTTTCTCATTGTCATTGCATTGCAGTACACATTTTGTGTGACCCACATTCTTTGTTTTTAGATATATGACTTTCCATTTGGCTGTGTTAAAATGAATGTTTTGTTCACAAGAGCCCACTTTCTTAAGTGATGCAGGTCATTCTATATAACTGTCCTGTACCCATCATTATTTACCATTCCAACAATTTTTCTTAGCTTAGTTGCTTCTCATCACAAATAATCTCCACACCCTTCCTCCTCAGAACTATTGCCCTTTGTCTTGCCTTATGTTTGCCTTAATTAGACTATAATTTTGGGGGGGTATGGATGTTTGCTCTGTTTTGTAAAAGCTATGTAAAGTAATGATATACATGGTTTTTAAACTAGAATAGTAATAAACAAGCTTTCTCAGTTAACCACTCTGACCTTTGCAATTCTCTCCCCTTGGAAATCCTTAGAGCCTAGGTCTAGCAATTTTCAGGGCATAATGCAATATGCATTTATCTTGTTTCTCTTGTGTTTTAATTTTTGTTTTAATCTCTACATTGGAACTGTCTAGTTGCCCTGGCAACAAGTGCTGTAGAAATGAGCATAGTTTCCAGTTTGATTATATGTATCAATATTAATATTATTATTTTAAGCATAAAAGCCAAGATAGTTAAGATTTTATTTCACATGTCCTACCTGGCACCTAAGTTTTCAAAAAATGTTTGTGGCTCATTGGGTCAAGATTTAAAAGAAGTGTACAAAGTACCTGCAGAACTCCATGCTTGTACATGCAGACTAACTAACTTGTTTGAATAGTTATGTACTTTACTATCCTTCTGCCTGTTTGCATGCATATATGCAGGTTTTTGTGAGTAATGCATATTATGAAAATTTAGCCCCATTTGTTTTTAAATAAAGCCGTCCAGTAATTTGAAATGATTGGTTCTTAGGGGAAATGCAGATTTGAAAACAACAAACAAATATTTTTGGATGAAAATAATTTCAAAGCAAATATTATTATTATAATCCTCCCCCCACCCTGGTTTTAAGGCAAAGAATGTAGGATTTCAAATAATCTAAAATGGTCTTTTGTTAGTTACAATTATTTAATCTAAAATACTGCATCAGTTGGATGTTTATATTTCTTATATGGTGGATATTACTTGTAAAACCTATAGTTAATTATTAAATAATATTAAAATGTTTCTGTATATTTTAAAGATCAAATTTTATATTTGATGTATTATTTGTATTTATACACTCTTTTTGTTTTGGCTCCAGAAACTTCAGGAGGAAAATACTAAATTAAAGCATGAACTAGAAGATTTAAGGTATCAATATTCAATAGTTTATGGCTAGTAGTAAATGGCTACAAGAATGAGCTCACATTCCTATTTGGGGGTGAGGAAAAAAAAAAGAGAGAGAACAAGAAAGCAATTTACAACTGAAACCTCCCCCCCCCCCCC